CACATGACAGATTCAGAAGCCATCCTGTTTTGAGGGGAAATTCGGAAAGAGATAGATAAGCCACCATCAGGTGTTTACCTAGCTGGTTGGAGATAGCAGTGTAAGAATAAATAGTAGATACTGTAATCTTCACATTAATGAATTAACAGGGCTAGTAAACTGAATGGCGGTTTTCTGTGAATAGCTGCTTAGTGTGAGTGGCAGAGCTGCCATGTGAATTCTCTAAAAATCACAGGTCACACACATCAACCAGCTGAGTAGCTTAACACACTATGGTAATTCACTCAGTAGGCAAGTAACATTTTAGGTTGCTTCAACAGGCTTCTCAGGTGTCTCTTATGAGAGTGTAGCAGCCAAACACGCTGCTTGCCAACAGATCAAGCCCTTTAAAATACTAAAACTACATAACAGCAAAGAATGATGTGATCCATTATATGCTGCAGCTCTAATGGCAAAAACTAATCCATACAAAATAAAAATAGATAAAATGCATCCAAACTTTTTATTTGTATGACTGCCACTTAATAATAATAATCTGTCCTCCTAAAATAGTGTATGCAGTGTTGTTGTCACTGTGTTGGTCCCAGGATATTAGAGCTCTGTGTAAGCTTGAAAGCTTGTCTCTCTCACCAACAGAAGTTGGTCCAATAAACCTCATTCATCTTGTCTCCTAAAATGGTGGCCATTTTATTGTTCTCCCAATTTACAGTCATGCTGTCACTTAAAAGATAAGTGCCAAATTCCTGCATATGGCAGACACCCACCCTGCAAAGCCTGAGGAAAGAGGGTTTGCCTGGAGAACTTATGTAAGTGGTTGGGAGGAACCAAATCTTTCCTACCACCCAACGCACAGCACAGCTGTGCAGCTGCTCCAGGGTCTCTTCTGCAGTTTCCAAGCTCTAGCAGCTGCTATGGCCCTCTGTGTGAGATTTTCAAAAGCCCCTAAGGGCATTATGCACCTAACTCCCATTGAAAGTTGGTGAGAACTGGGCTCCCAACTTACTAAAATCTCACCATGTTAATGGTTACGTTGCACAATACAGAGTGTGAACAACTGTACAAGGCTTTAAAGCAAGATTTGAGGATGTCAGTAACTGAGCCAGAGGTTATAGGCCTATTACAGGAGTGGGTGAGTGAGGTTCAGTGACCTGACAGGTGCAGGAAGTCAGAATGGATGATCATGATGGTTTATTCTGTCCTTAGAGTGTCTAAGTCTATGAGACTGACAACACTGGTACCTTATAAGTCCAGGTTAACTTTTACATCTCCTGCCTTTCTCTGATTGTTGACATTATGACTTTAGAGTTACTTTAAACTATCCTTTGCCCTCAATTTAGGGTAGGCTGTTAGCATCTCAGGAATGGGGAGTCTTTGTGTGACCTCTTAGTCCTGGCAAACAGGACAGTGCTCCCACCCTTTGGACCAGTCAGGGCTCTGTTAGGGAAGGAAATGCTAGTGTCACCCTAGCCTGTTCTGGGGAAAGCATTTACTTTAGATTAAGAGAAGTGCCAAGGGGAAAAGGGGCCCTCTCTGGCCGGCTATTAGGGACCTTAGTTAAATATTTATAATGTCTAAATTAGCATAGTGAACAATCAATTCATCAATTTGTTCTGGTCTGGTTGTAAATGACACACACACACCAAATTGCGGGAAGTGCCTGTAGAAAATACAGGGCAGGGTCAATAGCAGGGTGACTGCCTGTCTTAGGAACCTGTGGTCAAGTTTTTAGTTTGATCTTCTTTAAAGATCCTCCTTTCTCCTGCAGGCGATTTGCCAGGCCGCTCTGGGGCATGGCAGCGCGTTAGCCTGGCCTGGCCCAGCGCAGAGAGCTTGAGGCGTCCTGGCTGGTCTCGGTCACAGGGGCGCTGTCCTCAGCCGGGGCTCGGGGCGGCCGCTCCACGGCCAGGCTGGCTCCCTGCGTGGGGAGAAGAGCAGGGGGCGCAAATCCCCCGCTCGTTTCTCAGGGAGGCTCCGTGCCCGGCTCTGGGGGCCGCCGCTTCCCAGCCAGCTCGGCCCCGACCACGTGCCCTCTGCGAGCCGGGGGGCTGGCTCCGGCGGCGTCTCCCCTGGGGATCCCGAGCGCTCCGGGGGCAGCTGCCCGGGGGATCCGGGGCGCTCCGGGTGGACTCCCCCGGCAGCAGGCGGGTCCGGCCCCGGAGCTGAAACCCGAGTGCTAATGACCGGTGCCCTTCGCCCTGCCGCGCCCGGCGCCGCCCCAGCGCACAGCTTGTCCCCGCTGAACGTCTCCCCCTCCCCCGGCAGCAGGGCTTTTTGTCCTGGGGTCGCTGACCCCCGGCCCCAGTCAGCTGCCTGCGAGCCTTAATTGAATGACAGATGGTCAGCTTGGGGCCGCGGCGCCGGAGAGGGCGGGGGAGCGCCGGAGTCGGGGGTGGGCCCCGCTCCCCGCACACCCACGCGTGTCCCCTCCCGCCCCCAGCCTCCCTCTGCGCGGCGGCTTCAGTCTGCCCGGCTCAGGGGCTGCCGCTGCCCGTCTCCCCAGGGGCCCCTGACTCGGGCAGTTCCCTGCGCCAGACCCCTTTGTGCTGCGCCCCAGCGGCCGTGCCCAGGGGGGCGAATCGGACCAAGCGGGGGCACCTGCAAATGGGAAAGTGACGGGCGGTCCCTTTGTCCACCCTCCCACACCCATGGTGAGCCCGCCGCCCTCCCACCCTCATTATTATCCCCTTGCCCCCCTCCGCTGTTCCCCCACCCCCCAAAACCTCCATCACTCCTCTGAAGCTGGGGGACTTGTCGTGGGAGAATCCACAGGCCAACCTCTCATCTGTGCAGCGAGGAGGCTGTCTCTGCAGCTGGACAATCGGGGGGACAGGGGGTTTAACAGCGGAGAGGTGCTGATTCTTGCTAAACTAACCCCTCTCCACTTTCCCAGCACACCAGCCCAGTGTGGGTACCACACTGAAAAACTCACCGGTCCCAGAGCAGATCAACCTCGCCTGGCGGTCTCCGGGAGCGGAAGGCCTGGCCATGCCAATGTTGTGAGATGTTATCTTTTATCCCGCTTTTTTCCTCTCTCTCTCTTCCCCCCACCCCGGTAATTGAGTAGGTGCGTGGCTGTTGCCCTACCTACCACGTTGGCTTTTTATTATCTGTGCTCTTGCATCATTTCGGCTATTTCCCTGGTGGCGAGCAGAGACTCTTGGGAAATCAGCTATACGATTAATTGGGGGATAAGGGGAGAATGTTGCGGGGTTTAGTTTGTAGTGTTTCTGGTAGGTAAGCCAAGTCGGGAACATAAAAAGCCCCTTGGAGCTGGCTTTGTTGGACTTTGGGTGACGCCATTGCTCTATACCAAGAAACCTTCTAATAGCTAGTGAATAGGGAAATCCATGTGCTATAAACACCCTTCCCCATTGGCACCCGCACCTAGTGAGCGTCTTCTCGCTGCACTTTGAAACCTTGAAACCTGAGGTCTGGTTTTGCTAGAGGGAGCTGGCAGGGATCAAGTCCCCCGGAGCAGCAGGAAACAGCATTAGGAATCCATTTCAGGCCCATGCTCTGGGCTTTAGGAATGAAGAATGAAACCCTGTTAGGTGGCAAGCAGGGGATTTAGTTGAATAATTGCAATTACCTGCAGTAGGGTTCTCGCCTTCACAAAGGGGCAGTTTGTAGCAATGTCCATCCGCTGGCAGAGAGCCTGCCCCAGAGTCCATTGGAAAGGCTTGGCCCGGCTGTACTAGAGAGAAGTGAAAGGGCTCAGGTCCAGACAAAGATGCATATGCCATGTGGGCTATAGTTACAAGGGGGGTGAAAGTTGCGTTCACAGGAGTTGAGCGATATGCAAAAATATGTAACTAGCATATTAGAGATACAGTAAATGTTTCTTTATCAGCAATCTATATCCATCAACCCATCTAGCTCTCTATGCAAAACTCGCCTTCACAGACCACGTTAAAGACTCCTACCCCTTTAAAATCAAACCTTGGAGTCCTACAATTACTGGGATTACTGTGAAAGGGGTATTGATTTGCAGCCTGCATTGTATGATCAGCACTAGGCAACCCCCACCCCCAATGCCTTACACGGTAAGCACTAAACCATTCATAAATGTTTTATTTCACTGCTCCACTAACACCTGCTGCATAATAATCACCCGACCAGAATGGCGATGCATCCCCCTCCCCGCAGCCAGCGAAAGGCAGCGGTGTGATATGCAGGAGACACTGATTTGTGTGTGTGTTTTAATTACCGCCTGAGAAACTAGTACACAAGCAGAAAGAGAGAGCGAGGGAGCGGGAAGGCCCACATGAAGGAGGCAAATGCTGCCTAATGCACAGAGAGCTGACATCAACTTCCGTTAGGCAGCTACTTCAGATCGAACCTTTCGATTGTAACTGAAACAATTTGCATACTGATTCCCGTTCATAGCCTCCCAGATCCATAACAAGCCAGCCCGCTATTCAAATGCAAGTAGCATCCCTAAATGCAAGGCTAGACTGACCAAAAAGCGCTGTCCAACGAGCAAAGAAGAAGAAAAAGCCTTTGGTGATGATTATTTTTTTAACCTTTAAAGATTTAGCTGAAAGCTGCTTGTTTATGACTGGGAACGTAAGGGAGAGAATTGATCCTTGCCTGGACTCAAAGATGGAGCAAAGGGTGCTTGAGAGATTTTTGACCTAGACCACAAACTGAGGCTATTTTGAGGGAGGGGGGGAAATGGGACTCTGTCCCCCCCATACACAAACAAAAATCTGCTTGCAACTCAGCTCCTGCAGACCTAGGAAATAAACAAATTGCTGTCTGTGTGTCTCTGCTTCTCATGTATATTGGGCTGATGAAGAACGTGTAACTCTGGCTGTAATTTTTGCTTTTAAACTGGTCCAATAAAAGGTCTCAACCACCTCTTGCGGGGGTTTTGTGCTTTATGTTTTTGAACGGGACTGGTTTGGCAACCACAGTGGTTGTTTTTTTTTCTTCTCGTTCTCATTTGAAATTATGCAGATAGTTTTTTTTTTTTTTTTTTTTTTCCTAGGGGGCAAATCTAGGATGCGAACCTGCCTCGGATGTCAAAAAGGCAACTTGCCATGAAATCTGCTAATGTGCCATGGATCACGGGGGTAAGCATATCTAACCAGAGCATGGAAGGGGAGAGGAAAAAGACTTTGGGGGAAGCTGCAGCCTGTGGTGATCAGGAGGGTTAGTGAAAGGGGGCCGGTGACATTTGGCACCCAGCTGAGTTTAGTGGACATGCAAACAAGGTTTAAAGCTCTGTAGAGGTCAGCAGCAGCGTCATGAGCTCAGGGAGCCTGCAAGCCCTAGCACTGAAGCGCGGAGGCAGCCTGCATCCTTTCTCTGCAACTCGCATTTCTCTCGTGATGGTCGAAATTAGCAAGAGATATAGAATAGATCATATATATTGTAGTGTATCAGTCTCCTATGAAGACCAGTAACGCTGGGTGGGTGCGCGCGCAATATATACGGAGTGCGAGATCCGGTCTGGAGAAAAAATTCTTTCATATGTTTCTTGAAGTTCAGTTCTATCCCTTCTCAGGATCCCCGAATGAATCCGCTGGCTACAAACCTGGGTTTCTCAAATTGTCCTCGTATATATCTCTATATAGCCCTATCTAGATAGAAAAGAAGTTAGATTTGACTAGACAATCAGGAACGGCAGATTTATTTGCTATTTTCAGATGCAGCCATGTGTCATTTTAAAGGTGGGGGGGTGTTTTTTGTTTGTTTTTTTGAGGTATGAACAATTCCCTCTTGTCAAGTATTATTAATGAGGCAGCATTTTGCAGTTAGGAAAGAAAACGGTCTTGATCTTACAAAAAACAACAACAAAACACCACCGGGTTTGTTCAATCTTTTGGAGGGTTCAGAATCCATATTTGTGTTTTGTTCTCTGCTACCTTTTAAAATCAATCCAGATAATTTTCTGCTAATAATGAGCACTTCTTTATTTTATTTGGACAAACATAACAACAATAATAATACAGACCAAGGCAAATCGATTCTTAAATAGTTTCACAATAAGATAATAAATGATATAAACTAGCTGTGCAAATCCTAAAAAGGTGTTTGCTGTGAACATATATGCATAAATAAATGTCCAGGAGAGGTAGATATTTGATTTTTCATCCACCGTTAAGGAAAGGCATTTAAGATGGTATGAAGATATTTACCTGTTTTAGGTCCTTATAAAATCTTCCTTTGCCTTGTGCCACCACTTACTATTTGACCTTTAGACATCACCTAAAATAACATATAGTTTTCCTCTTTTAAAAAAACCAAACCAAACCAAACTGACAGAATTATTCCCTTTGAGATCAGTATTTTTCTGTCGAATTATTTTATTAATAGAATTCGGGTGAAATCAAATTAGTCCTCAAATGAGTCTATGAAAAAGGCAAGTACTGTTACGATAAGAAATGATCCCAGCATGACAGACTTTCATTTTGATTTTATTTGAAGACATTTGATGGTTGTATATCTTTCTCTGGTTTGTTGAGTCACCACAGCTGACTTCTTAAAACAGTAACTCAAGATGTAAGTAAAAGTGTTTTCATTTTTATTGATCCTGCTAACATCTTTCATTACCCAACATGTAACCACAACAAATTATTGCTCATTTGATACAGAGAATTGTATTGACAATCTTACTACTTCTGATCTCGTTTTATTTAGACAGAGAGACTTATACAGGTATTAAATAAAGTTACTGACTATAAAATATCAAACACACACATGCATATATTACACATTTTTTTACAAATTACAAATTTCCCTTGGGGATGAGCTAGCTAAACACTATCGAAGAAAGGTGATTTTATTGGAAACTGCTCTTAACGTCTTGGCTAAACTTTTAGATGGGTTCCCAGAGCGGAAATGACGTGTGAAATAATTTGTCCTACAGTATTTCATAAGAGATTTCCCCAAACGTACAAGCCGAGTCAGGGGTGAAATGTCTGGCAGGCTAGTCGGTTAAGGTGCGCAGGCTGTGTGTCTGGGGCAGGCGTGGATGTGTCCATAGGCAGGGATCTGAATTTAAGACCTGCAAATCCAGCAAATCAGTGGCTCTGGCCCAGTGCAGAGCAGATACTGCGCCTGTGCTGTTAAACCTGAGGCCAGCTCCATCATTCCTCACTCAGGCAAAACTCTCGTTGAAGTCAGGACGTTGGACGATATCTTTTCTGGGTAAGGACTGTAAGGGTGGACCCCAAAGTCAAGGGGTGCTTTCTTGAGAACAGACCACAGGATGGCTCCCTGGTGTACATAATGCCCCAGCGCCTTCTATGCAAACGAACTTGTCTCAGCAGCCTTCGGTGGGCGGCTATGTGCCCTGCAATGGGCTTTGCAAGTACAAACAAATAATGCTCAGGCTTCCCAGGAAGGACACGGTGAGAATTTAGGATGAGCTCTGGGAATGCGATCAGTTGTAGAGCGCTGAGTGGCAGGGATGCGGATGCAGCTTCTGCCTAGGGAGAGAGCAGCACGTGAGCTGGGAAAAGCCCCCTCTCTTCGTACCCCCGCTCCCTTGTTATAAATCCCTCCAGAAAACAGCAGCGCGCTTTGCAGGGCACCGGCAGAGACCGCGCGACCCCAGGACAGGGCTCTGTGCTCAGAGACAGCTGATTGACCAATATTTGCCGTCTCGTTAATAAAGGCACCTCACCAACAGTTATTGCCTTGTTTAGTGAAAGATTTCAGGGGCCTGGATTTTGCTAACCATCGTTTTTATGTAATGGGAAAGCTGATGGGAAAAATGGTATGCTTACATAGACACACACAGGCTCTATTTTACACATACACGCTGTATAGCTATATTACACACACAGCAAGGCATCAAAACACATACACATTGGAAATAGTCCAATAGTATTTTGGGCTTTATTACAATTACAATGTCTAATGCAATTACAATATTTGTGTTTTCTTAATTGTCCTCGAAATGGGATAAAGACACTATTATTCAGTGTAATTAGCTAATATATGGAAAGTGTAAACCTGGTTTCTATTGGTTTTTTTAAAAATGTAAACTCAAATGTATCTTATAGAAAAGAAGAGACAAATAAAACAAAACCTACCAACATTTCTCTTATCATTATATAATGAGTGTCTATAAAAATATTATATGAGTAAATGTGTGCATGTATACAGTGCACATCTACACACATATTATTTGCAAATACCTGTCTATATTACCCATACCACACATCTTATATCATGAGTACACGTGCATACCCAATATGTGTGTATGAACACACACATTTTACTGCACACACACACACACGGGTGAGGAGTTGATTGTGGTTTGTCTTGGTACATATATATGTATAGGTGTAAATGTAGCTAGGTTTGAAATCATATTGTCTTATAATCTTCCATTGAAAATGATCGCACCTTCCTAAACAGTGTGCGTTGATTACCTGCATTGTTGTTAAAGCCATTCTCCATGTGCATATACAGATCCTTGGCGCAAACGCTGCTATCAGTGAGGAACGCATCGCCTGTTTTACTGAGACGTCTGAACGTCCATTAGGAAAACACAAATATTCCTGTCAAGCCTGCTTGCCAGAAGTTCGGTGCCATTACTCTAATGAATTGACCGTGTTTGTAGATGGGCCTCGAGGATATCGTTTCTGAGGCAAATAGTTTGTTTCTCATACATTCCGTACCGTTGAACCCAATACCAAGAAATACAATGAAACCACACGTTTGAATGACACGTACACACTTCCTAGGCACCGCTCTCCAGCTCCTCAGTTAAAATGTTAGACCTTCCTGCCATCGTACTTAAATAGAGAGAATTTAAGATCTAATGTCGATTCATTTGATGTAATATGTTTGACTATTTCTTTAAAACTAAAAGAAAAGCCTTTTACTGTGGGGAAGAAATATAAGGAGTCCCGGTTGTTGTTATGGGCGGTGCAATGCTCGGTGTTTCCAAATGTTTACAAAAGTCAAAATCAGGTTCTCTTTTCTTTACATACATTAGTGAACAAGGATTTTGGACTCCTAAAGCAAACCCTAATAGGTTAATTTTCTTTAAAAGCATTGTTTGTATTCCTATTACGAAAATACAATGTAGTGTTTTCTCATAAAAGTTGATGTTTTTTGATGCATGGGACAGACAGTCAAATTAAAGTAGTTGGATTCTGTATTAAATTATTTTTAATCTTCTGCGTTTTTATGAAAATAAAAGGCAGCACTTTGTCATTTTTAACAATGTATGTAGCCAATAAATCTAATTTCAACATTGATTTTTGTAGGAATTTAAGTGATATCTGTATTATCTTTTGTGATTTGTTTTTGGAAACAAGCCTGCTTTCTCCTAGATTATGTAGTTTTTATAAACTGCTAATTACCAAAGGATTTTTCATTAATATTGCTTACATCTGACAGCTATTTTTCATAGAATATACATATATATATTTGACCGGGCAAATATATCATACCATCAATATACCCTCTATAATGGAGTTTTATGAACCTCGTTAGGAAAGGCATGGAACCTATAACACGTTCAGTGAATGATTCCTATTCCTATAATTAGTTCTCAGAACAGTTTAGGAAGTTGTCAGTCTCCTAATATAAAAGGAAAAAAGTGAGTGATCACATTCGCTCATACATGTAACTAACAAGGATCTCATCAACACAGAAACTTATTATAATGAAATGCAACTACTGTGCAGCCTCCAACTGATTAAAATGTACCTATGCCCGAATTGATTAATGGGGGTTCTAAAACGGCAAGTGTTTCTCTCTGGCTTTCTTGTACAATCCAAGCTTTCTTTCGTTCCTTTTTGGGGGACAGGGTTTTGTTATTTCTTTAAGGATCTGAGGGAGCAACACCTTTTAACAAGCAGAGGATTTTTAACGCCCTCCTTCCCTAACTAATCAAACAGATTAACAGTGTTCACTAAAGTGATATTGATCTCTATTGTATGACAGTCCTTGAGTGTATGCATATTTGCACACATCTATATTCACTCAGCGATGGTCTGTAATGTAATAATTGAATATAGATAAATTTCATGTCATGTGATAGAAACGGGTGTGTGTGAGAGAGAAATCAGTGAAGTAGGGTTAGATCTAGCTCACATTTCCGGATTAGGTTGTGTGTAATAAAGTCCTGGGCATTATTATAATAGTTTAAATAGATATGGGTGAATTTACTTTCCCTCCTAGACGTGGTACTGTAGATGGTGATTGAAGAAAACCGTGATGCTGCCAGCTGCCGAGTTCCCTCAATTGCCATTCAAATCGATGGGAAAAGGTGTTCAGGTCTGCGAGGATCTGGTCCTAATTCCTGTCTGAGGCGTATCAAAAATAGTGAAATGTTGCTTAACTACAGAAGATCTGAATGTGCTCAGGGCTATTTTCCCATATGATTTTTCTCAGTGGGAATGCTACTCTGGGCCAGATTGTGCTGCCGGATTCATCGAACCGATCTGACCCCCCCGCCAAATATCTCCGACTTTTCATCTTTGAATGCTTCAGATTCGACCACGTCCACTAAACAATTAGCAACGCAGCTCCTAGGGTCCAGGGCTGCTCCGAAGAATTAAACCCACTCGCTTTGGCAATGGAAAGAGAAAGCCGCAAAATTAAACTTTAGTCTAAGTAGGTTGTGGGTTTTTTCCCTCCCCTATTCAGACTTGGGAATAGGTTGGCGTCTGTATTTATTTTGGCTCAAGGAGCCCCGACATCTTTCCCATTGCAATGCTCACAAAACAAAACGTCAAGCGGTGTTTTCTGCCCAACGAGATTATTCGCTGCACGCGGCTGGCTCTTGTCATTGGCATATCAAATAGCAAATAAACCAAGTACAGAGTTCAAAAGGCTGGTGCCAGACAGTTTGCTTTGGTCCCCACCCACCAGCCCTCCCCAAAAGAAAGACCTAATACGTCTTTTATTTCATGGGCCTTAACTTGCAGCCCCTCCACAGGCAAACTTCCCAATGAAACCAGCCGGTAAGGAGCGCAGGATGGGGCCCAGCACTGAAAAATATGGTAATTAATGTTTGCCTTTTTGACCTTAAAGCTCCCACAGGTTAATAAGTTGAAATGAAAGATCTGTACAAAGTGAGCAGCACTTTTGCACAAGTCACCCTTGCGTGGGCTTCATTTACAGTCTTTTCCTGACTTTCGGTTGTGGGAGGGATACTGTAGCCTGAGAAAGGTATTCGGTTATTAGCAAACCTAGTTCTCTTCCGTGGAGGGAAGGGACTATTTCAGCACACACGCAGAATCCTAACCGGACAGCCGCAGCTTAATGGAAGCTAATTGGAACGACTCCGTTCTTGAGCCTTGGCTTTACCCCTTCATTGCCTGAATGCCACACGTTAAAACTTTTCCTTTTATGTGAAGGCGTTTGGAATGATCTGTCACGAATTAAAGTTCATTTCAGTAACTCTACTATTGTTATCTAATATGAACAGTGAGGGTAATATTAATAGTATTCATAGCATGGATAACAAATAATAAAGAACGAACCAAAAAAAAAAAAACTGCACAAGAGAAGTAAGAAATCAGTCTAACCAGAAATGTAAAAAGCACTATAGAAAATGTAGTTTGCTGTTTTACTGTACAAGCACTCATCACCGTATTTGGATGTTATGCCTCTGTCCACCCTAGGAATGAGCGCACAGTATCATTCCAATATCTTTCCTTTGATCAGAGGCAAGGGGATAATTTGTTTCGAACACACAAGCTTGGAGGTGAAACTTTGTGACGGTGAACTGTGGTTTCAGAGGCAGTCTCTCTTATCGGGGTTTTTTTTTTCCTTTCTTTCTTTTTTTTCTTTGTTTAAAGAAGGCTAGTTTACCAGGTAAACCTTATTTGTGTCGCTGGGCAACATTCTTTCTTGCTGAATCAAACTCCTATGAGAATTAACTTTTTTCCGGAAAATACGTGCGTGCTAGTAGCTTCCGACCCAATTATATGAGTAATTTAGAACTTTCCAACCTGCAAATAAAATTGTTGTAGCTGACCCCCGGGCACTCTGTCTTCTGTTACATAGGCGCACACATTGGGTGCCCCTTGCTGCTTCTGTGAGGTTAAAATAACTTTTAGAAGCGTACTTTCAAATACAAAACTCCACGTGGTTGTTTGGAAACAAAAATCAAACATGTTGTCCGCAAGTCTTATTCGTAAAGAACTGGCGGCATACACCGGAATTTACGAATGAAAGCCTAATGCAACCGGACAGGATTTGGAATGAAATTAACGTTTGATTTGCATACGGGTCGATTTTTGTTGAGTGAATAATCTGCCAATAAACTACACTCAGGGTGAGACAGTTTAGACATTTCTACAGTCGGTGAATTTGTACTTTCACTTCTGAATACTCAGGGTCTGTTTAACTGTATCAATCTGCAACCGAGGATCATCAAAACATATTGTAGAAATTAAACAAACAGCCCAACCCTCTATCTTCCCTTTAAAACATTTTTAAAATTAACATTAGAGTAGATGTAAGGTCAGTTTTTATTCAGAAAACGTCCACCTTGTGCTTAGGCCTATAGTAACAAAGTTCAACTGATTTTGCTAGCTGAATTAATGCTTTCATTCTCCACTCCTAGAGATAACCCTAGATGTTTACCGTATCATTAGCTTCCATTGATAGATCACAGGAGTATAGGAATATTCTAAGCGATTGTCGAGTCCCGTTGGTTTGAAACCTTCGATTTTCTAGTTCTTGTCTCGGTGGGGCTGAGAACAAAGAAGCCCCAAACTTTTTCTTAGTACCAGCAATGGCAATAAAGCTGTGATATTATTTTAGTAGTGGATCTAAGCCCTAACAGTGAAGAGGCGGGAGTAGAGTTCAAATGCATCAAACTATCAGAAGTAATTTATCCGGATTCATAAATAATGGCCTTATTACACTCAGCCCCCTTAATTCATGCTCCTTTCCGCTTGCTTGCGGGGTTTCAACAGATAAAAAGTTTATAAGTTGGTTGGGTTTTTGTTTTCCTTTTTCCATCATTAACATCATTAATATAAGCTATCAATAACCCTGTCGTTTGGAGCATAGCTTCACAGTATTGATCCGCGTAGCTATTCATCTCTGCCATAGAAGACACGGAATAATTTTCGCATTACAGCAGCTTAGATTTGCTTTTAATTCATATTTAAAGCTGCAACTGGCTCTGTGGAGCTCTCTGCGAAAGACTAGAGGCGCCTAATTAATAATAAGTTAGAAACGAAGGAAGGCACCAGCGGATAAATAATTAATACAGACATCTATGTCTCTTTGAATATTGCTACTTTAAAAATTTAGACTTACCAGGGCCATACTGTAAGTCTGCAATTTATATTGAGGAGATGATTTAAGAAAGCTATTTTTTTCCTGAAATACAATGCTAAATTATTTACAGTGTTTTGCAAGCCTCCATAAGTTCCTTCATTATCAAAGACTGCGGTTTGCTCATTGGGGGGGCTGGGGGGGGGGGAAGAGAAGCACGAATCTAAAGACAAATCCGAAGTAGCAGCTGGAAGTCGGATTATATTTATTTATATATGGGGATAAAGCAGGCAAAGTCGTCCAAAGAGAATGTTAAGAGAGCAGCTGGGGAGGAGCGCGTCTTACAACTTTTTTAAAGATATGTGTCGTCGTGTTACCGAGGCTCTGACTCATTTACAAAGTGATCTCCACCGGAAAATAAACATCGGTTTCGTATACCGAATGGCTCAGGGCTGAGAAACTGGACTCCGGGAAGAGCTAAACAATAATTAACAACTTCCCTCCCCCTCCCCACCGCTTTGGGCCAGAGAGTCTAAACTCAACGAACTCTTACTTTTAAGTAAAACGATTTGGAATGAAAAGAATGGAGGAGAAAAATATTTTTTAGCTGAGAGGATGGGGTGTGGAGTGGGACGGGACACCCCTAAAATCCTAACGGGCGAATTGCTAGAGATACAAATCTCGCTTCATCTGTTGTTGGGGGGAAGGGGGGAAATAGAGTGATCCTACATTAAACCCAAAATGGGTAAAGTGATTTGAGAGCAGCATGCCCATAACCTAAGGAATAATGAATCTCCTCTTGGGTGAAATACAGCGGTGACCTGGTGGGTGGGTGAAGGCTGCACTGCGGGTCTCTTGGTGTGAATACTGCGGGAGATAGCAATTAACTTTTAGCACAATATCTTTCCACCCAGCTTCTCCTTCACTTGCGGGTTTGACTGAGCACCCTTTGCGCTAAACGCGCACTGCGCTTAAAGGCCCTTTGCTCCTGAAGTCGGACAGGCAAAGGGGAG